GCGCCAACAGAGACGGCACCTGTCTACTGCCACGCCCGTGCCTTGCCACCGCATCCAAGTGAGAGTGCCTCCATGCAGAGGACGCAGAAACATTGGTTAGCCAGGGCGAGGTGCCGGACGGCACATCCCCTTGCGGGGAGGTGTCCTCTACCTCCGTGGCCTCCTCAGAGATCTCTTCGGGCTCCGCCCTCCAGGGGGGGATACCAGCAGGGACTTGCACTGTCCTCAGGTCCACTAGCTTCGTTGTCGCCGCTCGCCACATTGATTTAATCGCCTCCTTAACCTCATGAAGATTCACTGTCTTGTTTTCCTCGGTCTCGACAGGGAACTGCTTTGTTGAAGTACAACTTGGACCAGGCGCCGTTGAAAGCTCCTTTGTTGCGTTGGCAGAAGCAGCTAGGCCCTTATGGGAAGCCCAGTGTGCAGTGATGGCGTCGTACCACTCAGCCTTGCCTCGGAACGGAGCTCGACGAGTGTAGACAGCAACATAGTTCCTCCAATGGGGGCTACGGATGGGCGGTATTCTGAACGGGACGCACAGGTCCACTTCCCGTAGCGAGGCTAGGTCCGCAGTTTGAAGCTCCGAGAAGCGCCAGTCTCGAACCTGCACCTCAGTCTCATTGGTATCTTCTTCCGAGGAACTGCTGCGCGTATCCATAGGCCGTGCTCCCTCTCCTACTGCAGAGGACTCTGCAGTGGATTTGGTCAACAAGCAATCCAGCGGCGGAATTTGGCGAAAGGAAACATTGGATCGTGTGTTGGCATCCGGCCATTCCAAGTTAAAAGCCGCCCAGAAATGCTCAATATCATGGTTTGCAACCGCGGCCACGAGTGCACGCCGCACCGCGTCCAGGAAATTGAGTGGCTGGTCCGCAGGATTGAACTGTCGATACTGTCTCTGTCCGAGGGCTTGACGCGCGTCAAGTTTCACCCTAACAAAGGCGTTGATTTTAGGGCGCTGGGCTAATCTGGCAGATTCCAAATTATTGAACTGTTGCACCTCGGGTAACGCCTGATGCCCCTTGCTTGCAGTTGTGATATCGTCCCGCGCATATTGTCAGATCGGAAAAAATGCTCATTGCCTTGGCTCACATGCCACAATTCCCGAAACAGAACACCCCTCCCCTGGTGCTGTGTGGCCTTAATGGCCCAAGCACCGTGAAGGGGCGGTTTATCGAAAAGCGAGACTCCCACTTTCCTCTTCGGGAGGACTATGTCGGCAACCTTTCGCTCTCGAAAAGCCTGTTTACGCGCAACTTTGGCAATCCCTGGGCTGTCAATGCTCCACAGGCTGGCTTTCGGCAGCCCCCAATCCGTCACCATAAGCAGGAGCCAGAATGACTAGTGGCCCCAATTCTCTGGTGAGTGAAGACGTTAGCAAACCCCGCCTCACTGTGGTATAGAAAGCCCGACGCTTTGCATGTGACAAAGATGCTAACGCCAAATGTGGGACCGGTCGAGCATGCAGTTGCGATGGCTTCGAAGAACCTACGGAGGGCACCAAGGTTCGCCACCAAGAATCTTTTGAACTCCATCATGTCCCATGATTGCGGATTCCCCTTGGCAGGCCTCCATGAGACTCATGCCAGGCCCCCAACTCAGCCACGGTTTGACTAGAGCGCAGGTGTTCTTTGATTTGAAGCACCACTTTGGAGTACTGGGACACAAAGCCAACCCGGGACGTTGGGTAAATTTGGTGCCCAAAGGTGAGCGCTATATACGTTAAGAGCCAGCTGAGCTCGAGGCTTTTGCCTATTTGTGTGTAAACCTCAGTATTCTCCTTGACAGAAACCCACCTACACGTTTCCAACCAACGCTCCGCCGCGCTGCGAAGTGGGCGTCCCAGCAAATGGCGCAGGCTAGGTCCGCTCGGAAACCGTAACTGCGGTGTTCCATTCACCATCGCGAATGCGCATGCTTCAGGGTACCTAGCCGCAGAAAATACCGCCGAGATTTCGGGCGGCAGCCTCAGCAAGGTACTGAGGGAAATGTTCACTGGGTGCCCGACGATAGCTTTGCGACCTGCAGCTTGCATGATGGATTCCGCCTATGCAGAGCGCGAATGGCTGAGCGAGAGCATTGCGTCCAAGGCAGCAAGGACAGCGGCTTCGGACGCTGCCACGTCACCCTCAACACTTCCCCTGTCTCTCCCTCCCAGTTTGGCATGGGCCCGCGCCCTTTTTTCCAAGGAGCAGGGCTTTGCTGCACTTGTTTTCGTAGTGCTTGAGGCAAGCTCGATGGTGTAAACAGGTCGGCAGGAATCGCATTGAGGCCACACGCTTTATTTTCGAGAAGCTCTGTTACAAAGTGGCGGTTGGGGCGGGACCCCCCACCCGGCTGGCGATGATCTCCGATCATCACGTCAAGGGCCTGCTTGATGTGGGCCAGGATGCAGTTGGCGTCTGGTGTACCCAGCTGCTGCGCCTCATCACGTAAGGCGATTTCCACATCACCGAGCAAGTTAGCCAGCGAGGAATACGCAAACCCACGGTGGGCGTTGATGGTCCCGTGGGTTGCGCCGGCCTACGTCACGCACATCGAAGGGGAGCTTATGCGTGTCTTTTTCCCGCTTCGCAGAGACACGAGCTACACGGTCTCGGACGAAACCGTGGCTCGTTGCCGTAAGCCGATGCACCATTTCCACAAAGGCCCTCACGACTCATTACCATGCACAGTGCCAATGCGAAGGTAGCAGCCCTTGTGCGAAGACCCCTTCTCGCTTATCACAGCATCGGGGGGGGGATGTTAAGCCCTCCGGCAGGCCATAAGTCACGAGTGCGGACATCCTCCTGCTTAAGCTGACCCTCCCGTGGCAGGGTGACCAAGACTCCTGCAAGGAGCTGTGGCGCCCAAGCTGCGGAGTACTGCTTGTCACCGTTAAGCCACTGCTGGGCTATCTCCACGCGGGGGTCCTCGTAAGCATTCGACTCCTCGTAAGCTCTGCCGGCAGCTGACGCCGGAGCAGGGCTGGGTGGATCAGCGCGCTCCAGACTCATCCCACATCCCTGAACAACGAGGCCCAGGATCAGCACCAAAGTAAGGTCCAGGAGGAAGCTCGGCAGCCACCACGGACGAGAAAGGCCAAGGGTTGGTTCCGGGCTTGACTGCCACTGCCCGCACGACTGACACTCTCCTAAGCGGCTAATGGTACTGATCCGAGGGCTCCTTTTCAAATTCCGCTTCGGCCGCCATGGCAGGGAACTGGTAACCCAACATATCTACGAGCCGCTCCAAGGGAAGTTCAGGGAGCCACTGCAGTTACCAAGCGCACGGTGGGTCCAGGCTGTGAAAGGGCTCCGGTAAGTCAGTTAGATGCGGCCGAAGACAACCGACAAGGGATCTCACAGTAACTCTTCCGCATGTCCATGAGAATATGGGGAGGGTCAGCTGGGAGATTGAGGAACTTTTCAAGATCCCGCCTGACAATTTGCCGCCCCAAAACAGATTGGACGAAGTCCCTGACAGCACTTGGAATTCGAACCAACGCGCACGCGACCCGGCCCTCTCCATTTGTCTATCCGCAAGGCCATAAATGCGCCGGGTCAAGTCACTGTAGCGGTAGTCCCCTGGCGTGGGCCGGAAGAGGTCGTCAGCATCGACTACCTGGCCATAAGAGTGCTCGCCGAATCCTAATCCACTCATGGCCAAAAGGAAATACAGTCGGCAACCTTGCAACACCCCATTTTTGCGCACCTCTTCCTCCGGGCGAAAAATGCACAACTGATCTCCCTGATGGTGGACAAGGCTAACAGCATGGCGCAACTGCACTTCTCTGCGATGAACGTGCATTCAAGATCACCCGGACTGAGCAAGGATGCAACGCTGGCAGTGTGACCCAAAAAATGGAGACGCTTTTTGGCTCCCTTCGGGCCGAGAAAAAAACCTTTTTTTCAATAGAATTCTGTTTTCAGCAAGCTGGAAGGCTGTGTTTTGGAGACTGCCGTCGACAGTTACTTGGCCCGTGAACTCTTGCAAAAGGGGCCAGCTGACGCGCAAGGGCAAGCTTCGGAAGACGAGCGCGAGGAGCGGCCTGCCGCTCCAGCCGGTAGCAGCTCGGAGGACGCTGTCTTGCGAAATCCACCTGCTGCGCTGGAGTCAGGTCATCTCGTGTCGAGTATCGTTGGCCTCAACGATGACTCAGACCAGGGCAACCGCTGGCTTCGAGTCTGCCACGATGTGGAAGAATTGTGCTGAAGCTGCTTCCAGCTTTACACAAGACATTTTACGGCGAAACTTCAATTCACTCACTCACTGTAAAAGTTTCTAGTCACAAAACACCCAACATACACACAGCTACGCACTTGCACAGCACTTTCTCGGTCTCACAAAGCGATGCAGCTGTCCTGCCTTCTTCGTGCTTTCTCAGCTTTCTTGACTTGGGCCAAGAGTCAAAAGTAAAACTGCAAAACCGCAAAACCTAGTCGGCACTACCTACGCAAACTCATGCCTCCTGCAAAACAAAATCTCAAGGAAAAACACGCTTGACGCCCGTGGAAGACCTGTATGTCAGGCTTGACACACAGTAAGCACGCCAAGCATGCGCCTTGCTCTAAAAGGCATCCCGCTGACATGGCTATACACAGATTTTCCTCACGCAAGCACGAAGCGGCCGGAGGCCTTGAGTCCATTGGCTCAGTGTGAAACAGTCGGGTGAACACCTACCCTACGTAAGTTACAAGCCACTCTCGCAGTAGCTGCAAGGAGTAGGCCTTGAGTCCAAGCTCGGAAGTGAGACAGTCGGGGTTACACCTACCCTACAGCCACAAGTTGCGCCACTCACTTCAGGCTGGCACCCATGCCTGAGGCCTGGTTACACCAAGGCCTAGCTGCACTTGGAACACCCAAGCACGCAGACGCACGGTAGCAGGCTATGGCAGTCGGGGTTCAACGACCCGAGAACCTGCAATTCACACACAGCAAACAAGACTGGGCCCACGCCTTGAATGGTCTGGAGACCCCAAGACCTGACTGACAACACCAAAGGCTTGGAAGGCCCAAGCTTATTGGTTAGCCAATGCAGCAAGGTGAGCCCAATCAGAAAGTCGGCCGTCCATGAGGACCATTTGGATTTCCAAGTTTGCCTTGAGCGCAGCGGGGAGAACTGCAATGATCTCGTTGAGGCAAGGGACCACCGCCTGCCTGCGGAGATACGGCTCCAATGGCGTAACGTCACAGACACATCGAAGGGTCTCGACGAAGCTGCGCAAGCTATACTTGGGAATCCACCTTCCAGCATGAAGCCCTTCGAAGTGCCAATCCGCGAGATCGAAAAAACACAACATGGGCGTCGCAGCACTGAGTCCTGGCTTAATTCCCAGGTTGGTTTTTGACACATCACGAAGAGCAAAATGACGGCTCAATTGCAAAAGGAGGGCGAAGGCATACAAGGACCACTGAGGGTGGATCTGGTTCCGAGAACCAAAATCCGTGAGGAGCTCGACTTTTTCCACCATCGACCAAGCCACCAAATGGGACCTGAACTCCCATGGTCGCCCAGAGAGCAGCACCTGCAGTGTCGTAGATCCAGCCCCAATGATGGTGGCTGCCACCTTAGGAAGCAAGGCCGAAATCGCCACCTCATCTCCAAAGGCCTGCTTCGTCCCAACCTTCAAGACGTAGCCACCACCAGCGTCATATCCGAATCTGGTTCTTCCATTGTGGAGATACGCCGCAGCGCTGTCCCCCGTGTCATTGAACCACACGTGGATCAAGTCCTTGGGGAGGGCCTGGAAGACACCAGGATAGCCCAGATCGGATTTGAAAGCCACCAGTCCTGGCTTGGTATTGCGAGCCCTCTCAGCAATAGCAAAGGCTGCGCCCGCTTCTTGATCCATATCGTCAAAGTTCAACGGGGCAGGCAGCATAGGCGCAGCTGGCGGTGCTGGAGGAGGCTCGGGATGCACAATGGGATCAGGCACCATTGGCTCCTCCTCGCTTTCTTCAGAGCAGCTGTCCTGGTCTGGGGCACCCAAAACCGGACCAGCCCCAGGTGCATGGGGATTCTCCCGAAGGACAATTCCAGGAGCTTCATCCCTCTCAGCCTGGTTTGCCACCACGGCTGGGGGGCGGTGCACAGGATTGCGCTGCTCGAGCTGAGGATTTTCCCGAAGCACGACTCCAGGATTCCTCCTCTCCTGAGCCTGGTTATCCACCAAGGGCTCAGGGGGTTGCACGTGTTGTGGCCCGGGCTCAGGGGCTTGCTCATCCTGCGGTTCCACCCTTCTCCGCCTGGGAGGCGGGGGGTTCACACCAGCAGGCGGCGCTCTCTTAGGAGCTGCACCTCTAAGCCGAGCTCTCTCTCGCTTGCCCGGCCGGGCTTTTGAGTAGGCCTTGGAGGCAGGGGATTTATGCTTCGGAGGCATACTCAGAAGGCAGTCTTAGCTTGGTTGTGCCCAGACTGCTTGAGCCAGGCACTTTCACGCTTCCTGGCCGGGCTTTGAAGTATGCCTTGGAGGCAGGAAACTTATGGACAGGCAGCGTGCTAAAAGGCAATCTTAGCTTGCTTGAGCCCAGACTGCTTCGCTTTGGATTTTGGCTTAGGCTTGGGAACAGAAATTTTAGGTGAAGGTTCCTGACTGGAGGACGACACAAAAAAGGCCCGAACACTTTGAACCCCAGTGTCAGTCACCTCCTTTGCTTTTTTGGAGCTAGCAGTAGCAACCTTACTTTTGTTGGGCCTGCAAGGCGCTACAATCCAGGTCGGGATTTTGCGGACACCAACTTTGACCATCTTGTCACACTTTGAGCAAACCCAGGACTTACCTAAATTAACCCACACATGATCAGGGTGGGGATCCCAAGGAGGAGGGTCCGCCTGAACACCAAGGCAGGGGTGCTTGATCTTAAGGGAAAAGGTAGGGAGGGGCTCAGTCTGCTGGATGTATAGCTCACACCTCGAGCACCTCGCTGAAAGGTTGGAAGGGAGCCTACAACCCTCAACCCAGGTGTGCCCCAAGTTCTGTGTACCAGCAAGAAGGCCTTCAATCTGTTCCCTTTTGTTAGGACCTTTGATTTTGGGGAGCTTAGAATTTTTCCGGACACCCGAATCCCTAACCCTGGCTTTTGGCGGAGCTTTCGTTGCTCTTTGTCAGGCCACTGAACCAGCGGTCCTTGGTCCTTGTCATACGAAAGGAGAGCTGCAGCTCTCTTGGCCAACAAGGAGTTAACCTGAATGGCAACTGCATCACGCTTTTTAATTTGGGATTCAAAGTTCAGGTCCCTACGAGCTTCGGCAGCCGTGCCAACAAGCTGGTCCACAATTTCGTTAGCACGTCGCCTCCAAAGCTGGTTAGCACCAAACTTTGCTCGGAATTGTTCTTCCGTTAAATGCGAGGATACCCAGTTAAGGCTGAGTCTCTGTGCATGCAGTCGGATGGGGTCGAAGAGGTCGGCAGACTGGATGGAAGGTGTACCATTCACTCTGGGCAGGATGCCCTTGCAATCCAAGGTGAGGTCTGCGTTCCCTTCACTATGCTCAGCTACAAACTTGACAGCCGCTGCCTCCGCCCGGAACACCGATAGCGGAGATTGCAGTGAGCCGACAGCTGTCGCGATCGTGACGGGCTCATCCCCTTCAAGCTTAAAGGCAATCGCAGCCCAGGTATACCGATGGAACCTGGGGTCCTTGGATTTCCCCGGGGAGCCATCAGTAGCAAAGTATATCGCCTCGCCACAAATGACCTGGCCATCACACCAGGCACCAGTAGTTCGTACCCATTCCCCAGGCAGAAGGCCTCTGGCCCACAGTGACGAAATGGGCCACTCTTGCCGAAATCTAGGAAAGGAAGCCGGTTCCGGGAGGTTGGTTCGCCACCAGTCACACTCCCATAAGACATGTTGCATGGTAGCAGCACAGCCGCACCTCAGGCAAGTGGCACAAGGATCAGCACGAATTGCTCCTTGCCAAACAGCCATGAGTCCTGACCTCTCCTGGCCTGTCATCTTATTCCGAAGCTTTCTGAGGGGAACCCAATCAATTCCCACACTCAGAGGTTCAAGCATGTCGTGCTGGGCTATACGTGCGAGCCTCCACCTATCAGTTTCCTTAGAAAGGGAGCAAAGGAGGTGGTGCATGCCTACTTTGGTGGTGACGCTGTGCGATTGTTCAGGGCATTTCCAAGTGTCCGCACTGACCGGGGTCCAACCCAAGTCAAGCAGGTAACATAGGAGGGCCCCAACCGGCCCTGCAGCGCGCTTCCAGGGGTACTCCACCTGTGAGTATTCAAGCCACATACCCGGCAAGACATCATCAAAGTGCTGCCTTTGGCTATCGGGAATGAAGCCCAGAAGCCTGTGAATGGCCTTGAAGTGCTGGGAAATGATAGTAAAGGCCGGGTCCGGCCGCTTAGGGCACGCATGGTCAATGGTGAGGTCAACCGAGCCCAAAGACATTCGCCCCAACTCATGTGCGAAGGAAGCACGCAACCAATGCATACGCTTTGGCGCAAGCCCAACTGCCTCATGGCCATAAAGGCCCACAGTTTGGACCCCCGCCCTCAGGGCTCTGACCCTAGCTGGCATCGATTTCACACGCAGGGTCGAGAGCCTAGCCTTGCGCTTAACGCCCTTCCCAAACCTTTTACGGTGGAACGGAATGCGCCTTCTACGCCCAGCCGTACAATCAATCCCCAGGTCCTTCGCGGCATTCTTGATTTGATCAGATTCAGGAAGATACTCTTTAAGGGCAGCTTCAACTTTTGGAGACGAGCATACAAAAGCTGTCTTGCCCAGGCTGACTGGGAGGCCAGCAGTTGTCAAACCTCCTACCACAGCCTTATTCAATTGCACCGCCCGGCGCGCTGCTGTGTGGGGGTTACCAGCCTCAGTGTCAAAGCTAGTATCGTCAATGTAGAGATCAATGGTTTTGGCAAGGCCAGAAACCCATGCCGGGCGCAGGATCTCGTCAAAAGGGATCTTACTGAGACCAGGCGCAAATGGGCAGCCCGCAACTAAGCCCTTGGTGGGCTTGATCGGACCAGAGACACAGTGTTCAGCACTGATCAAGCGCTGAGCAGAGTATAGCGACATTGCTGCATTCAGGATCAACGGCGGAACTTTGAGGGAAATGGCCTGCTTGACGAAATTATCATGTCGGACATTTTCATAAAAGGCCTTTAAATCTAAAAGCACTGTCACTGAATGTCGCTTTTTCCGGTGGAGAATTTCATGCGACAGCTTACGGCGCAACGCAACATCAAGACTTGAAAGGCCCTTCTTTGCCCTGTCCCAATCCTGGGTGGCAGCATATTCCCGGAGCCATTTCTCAAAGACAGGCCAACGTATCTTTGCCCACAGTCGGTATGGGACTGGCGTCAGTCCAATTGGGCGCTCCTCATCCTCAGACTTGTTAATGAGTGCAACCAGAACAACCGAGAGCTGGGTCGGGAAGGCACCCTGACCCTCCCAGGTATTAAAGAATTGTGCCAATCTTTCAAGCTGCAAGGGGGCAAGACATTTAAGCATCTGGACACTCCACCCGTCTGCACCAATAGCTTTAGTCGGCATTCGTTTGATCACCTTCGCCACCATTGGACCTGTTATGGGAGGAAGGGTTTTGGCTTGGCTTACAGAAGCATCCCTGAGGCAATCAAAATCAATATTGGGATTGACCTCATTGCCAGGCATGGGCTGCCACACGTCAGCCCAGTGAGCCCGCCTGATGTGCGGGCGAATTTCGAGTGGTATGTTTCTGTATGGCCTGTCCGGGATGGAGTCTTCAGACTTCAAAGCCTTGTACAGGCCTCGCATACCCCCTTTGCAAGCTTCTTCCAACCATTGCGAGTAAGCTTCATCACTCTTGCGCACCGCCTCTTTCAAGGCTGATCGCCCCTGCTGTGCGATAATCTCAAGTGCAAGGTGATGGCTTTGCATGTCAGGAGCAACTAGGAGGGCCTGCAATATACACAGATTTTCGCACCCCCTTTCGGGATGACGTTTTTGAATTGACCTCACTCTCAGATGACGACATCTTCGGACGATCACTCCAGTCTCAGAGGTCTGCTGCTGTTTCCCTGTCACACATGCCGAACACGGAGTGATGCAAATTGCAGCCACGTGTTTGCAGTACACACTGTGATACCTGTCCCCGGAAGAGAAAATGCACAGCTCTGTGTTGCCTGGCTCTGGCTTACAGTTCCTGTTCGCCATGATCCCTCCAGTTCATCGCACGTCAAAGATGCCCTGAGACGATGAAGCATTGTTCCTCCACTTGAAGCGAAGGGTCGGGTGCAAGCGCGACGCGCATAAAGTTCCATGACTAAACATCACCACAGCAATCACTCACAAACAGCATCAGACGCGCTCTCTCTTTTTGTGCAGGATGGAACGGACCCATGCGTATCAGCAACAGGATGCATCACCCAGCCCTGGTGAAACGAGTGAATCCAGGCACAGAGTGCCCACGTAGTGGCAGAGCCTTTGTCAAGAAGTAATCGGACTGACAAGAGAATTGTCAGTGGCAAGCCAGCGCCAGCGTTCGGCAAAGCAGTTTCAGCAAGTGCTGAGGTATCAGAGGGACCTAAACCCTAGGGAACACAAACCACACAAGGAGCCGGGACAGACACGGGCAACCGGCGATTAGGGGAAATTTTGGGACGTGGCGGGCGGGCATCAAAATTTCACGATCCGGTCTGGAGCAATGCAGAGCAAACAATGCCCAATCAATTGGAAAGAGGTCAAATCTGCAAGGGCTTCACCACACTCAAATTTGCCAAATACCGCATGCCAAATCAAATCACTTTCAAGCAGAGTTTTTCGGAAACACCCACAAAGCTTTTCCACAAGATGCCAAAGTCCAACATCCAACGTTCCAAGGAGCGCCCACCCAGCCCCCCCGACTCAAGTAACGGAACAATCCCCCCGGGAGGACCCGGGTAGTTTGTTCCTCCACTTGAGGCGAAGGGTCGGGCGCAAGCACGATGCGCATAAAGTTCCATGACTAAACATCACCACAGCAATCACTCACAAACAGCATCAGACGCGCTCTCTCTTTTTGTGCAGGATGGAACGGACCCATGCGTATCAGCAACAGGATGCATCACCCAGCACGTTGCTCCGGGCGAGTCACCCCTCCCGCAGGCGTCCGGAGCGGCGTGCCCCTCCTTCCTGCAATCCGTTTCACCACGAGGTTCTCTCCGCCAATTTTTGCTTCTTCGAACTCTTCATCTTAGGACCTGCAGATGCACGTGCCAAAGACTTAGCTTCAAGGAAATCCTCGTGAGCAGCGGCAAGCTCTCGCATAAAATCCATCGGAATGTCGTCCCAGCTAACCTTGACCCTCTGCTCACTGTCAAACAAGGCAAAATTTTCGTTAGTCAAATCATCTGCCTCAACATTAGTCTCATGCGGCCGCCAGACCAACTTCATCTGAGCTCCATGCGGCTGCAGAGTTGCAGTGACTTGCATCAAGATGCCAAGAAGTGGCCACGAGGCAGAAGAACCCCGGGCCTGCGCCTGAGGAGTCGCCTGATTGTCCGTGCCACCAACCAGCACAGCATCAAAGGTATCCCCGAAGGCACGTGAACCCTCCAGCAACCCGAAAGCAACCAATGCGACATACGATGCAAGCAGCTCAGCAGCCGTCGAGGCCCACTGTGATTCTCCATTCGGCTTAAACAACCACGGTGCCTCCGACGGGGAAAGGGCAAGAGAGAACCACGGGGCCTTCCGGGGAATTCCCTCCTTGCCCAACAGCCAGCCACCCAGGACCACACGATTCGGGGCACATTTGGCATCGGCGCGAAAGGCCTGGCGAGAAGCCCGCCAGTCTACAACAGGCCGCACCAAGCGTCCACGATCCTGCAGCTGACGCCTCACGAAGATCAGGCACAGATAGACCAACACAGGCTTCGAACCGCTGTGCCTCGGGCGAGGACAGCGCACCATGAGTGCAAGATGGACAAGAATGGCTTTATCCAAGTCAGCAAGCGAGCCACAAAGGAAAGCCTCCCAGCGAGCTCGATCACCGACCGCCCCACCACGATCCAGTCAGCCTGCTCGGCTTCCAGAATCCACTTGACCAGCCACGAGCACCTCCGCTCGGAGATGCCAGCCCTCCATTCAGAGTATGAGATTTCATATCCCACAAAATCCACAACAGTACCGCCCCGGAACTTACGATAGGCAAACGGCGTGCCAACCAACTCGTAGGCAGCCAGGCACATCCACATCGTGAGGAATTTGTGCTGTCCAGCAGTCAAGAGGTGAAGATCATCCGCAAACACGACTTGCATCTGCCAAACGGTCAGCATGACCCTGTGCACCCAACGGCCTATACAGCCGAACAAGCGGGACCAGTGATAGGCAGCAGAGGAAATCCCAAACGTGCCGACAGTATTTACCCAAACAGTACGCGCCTCACTGCGTGCCTTGCATCCAAGCTTGGCCCAATCGGCACGGCGGACTTTGGTCAGGCGGTGAGCCTGAGCGATATCTGCAGAAATGCAAAACACTGCCTCTTTAGATTCCTGCCCCAAAGCAACCGTCTCAAGGATTTCATCCGGTCCCGGCATTTCCAAGCGATCGAGAATTTTGATACGATTGTTCAAGCCAATGCCATGAGTCCCGTCGTGCAGCGGACGGATGTCGCCATTCGGCTTAAGTAAGGCACCCATCGAGGCCACCAGCAAGGTGTCCCCATACTCTGCCCGCAGGGCAGGTTCCGTGCTCGGGATCATGCGACCGGCCCGTTCCTCCGCAGCAAAATGTTCTTCAAGCTTATCGGCTGAAAGCTCCGCAGACTCATAGTTATTCATGATTTGCTGAAAGGGGGTGACATCCAAGGTCCGCTCCTTCACACGTTCCCGGTACACCTGCGGCGTACGCGGCAAAGGAACCTCGTCACCCAGTGGCACGCCCATCGCAAAGCACTCCTCCCCTTGAGAGAGGCATGCCCAATCTGGATCACCCAGCAACTTCAAGGACTGCGACAACAAGTGCAACAAGAAAGGCTGGCGCTCTGGGACCTGCAAAGCCAGATCCGGGTCTGGCAGCATGCTTGCAACCTGCTGCCTCAAACGCTGCACGCCCTGTTCACTAAAGGGGGACGACTTCATCCTTCCGACAGCCAGTTGCAAAGCAGCCTTGCGCAAGTCACCAACCTCCTCTAGCACAAAGTTCCGGATCGCCCTTTGCACCCGCTCAGCATGCTGCCACTCCTCTCGACTTGAGAGCATGCCTCGCTGTTCCGGGCGCCAACGCCCCGGAGAGCACAAGCCGAACCCATCAACAAACACACGCCCTTTCGGGTGATTGCGGTGACCAAAACAACGACTTCCTCTGCCTCCTCCAAGTCCGACATGTCTGCAACCCCAAAACTACCCGGCGGCCCTAAACCTGAAGGGGAGGAGGAAACCCCAACCGCGGCGGGAGCAGGACGAGCCACCGGGGCACCGTTATGAGGTCCAGTCGCCCTTTCCTTATCAGATGCAAGGGGTGTCCCAGCATCGGCGACAGGACCCGAGGGCTCCGCTAAGGTCTCTGCTGTATCACCCCGGGCAACGCCAGCAGTGACTGACGGCGGGAGCAGAAAGCCCAAGTGCGAAAGCAAGGACAGCGAGCTCACGTCAAGAGCCGGCAGTTGGCGGACGCAGTAGCCAACGAGCACCACCCGAGACCTCCAGACCAGGGTTCAGTCTGATGAAAGCGCTCCCAAGCTCGAAGAAGCTGTGGTGCCCGAGCGACATCCAAGAGGACCCCCGGACACGGAGTCCCATGCACCGTGCGCCAGACATCCCCATTCTGATCCTGCTGCCACACCTGGCCATTGGAGAACGTCGAAAGTGCTAGCAGAAGATTTGGATAGGGTGCATTATGTGAATCCCGAGGCATCTGTGTGGCTGCATCCACAAAGACCGCAACAGAAGAGAAGATCTGGCCTGGAAAAGCATGGCGGAGCAAAGTGCACAGGACCCGAAGGGTGGCCGGGAATTCGCGGCAGGACCTACGAAGGCCAACAACTCCCCCTTTGCAGTATGCCCCGCCAAAGAAGGCTTGCCCAGCCGCAGTCTGAGCACTGACATGCGGGGCCTCCAGTGGCAAGAGGGTGATCAGTGCTTCGGCATCGTGTGGAGCAGGGGGCCTGTCCTGCTGCAAGAGAAACTTAGCAAACTGTTCAGCAGCATGCTGTTCCGGACCATCCGTGCTAAAGGAAGCAGAAAGTGCCGAGGCAATCAGGTCAGCAAGAAAGGCACAAAGCGGGGATGGGTAAGCTTCAGTACCGGCAGTGCGCCACTGGCCCGATGACCAACGAGCCCCTGGTCCGTGATGGTGATCACAACGAAGGATGGGCCCTGCATATGTCCCATCTTCCTGAAAGGAGGGCCAGGAAGACCCAAAGACTCGAGCCCCAGGCAGATTCGAAGCCAAGCGAGTAGGTTTTGGAGTATCGGCGGAGTAATCGCACTGGCGGAGGCCCCAACAAGGGGCGTCGCCCACTGCAGTCCGGATCTGAGGCCATTGCCAAATGCTAGCTGGGTCATCGCCATTGGGCAGGCGACCCAGATCTTCCGGATGTTCAAGCAACCAGAAATGTCCCAGCGAAGACATCAGTTGAATCATAGCGGCACACAAATTATGCTCTTGCACCAGTGCGCGGTGCGACGCAGACAACCAAGGAAAACCAAACGTATGAAAGCGGGAGCGCAGCGGTCGGGGCCCGGAGCCATCCGACCGAGATCTATAGCGGGCGCGACTGAAAGTGGAACATGGAGGTGACAAGATCACCACATCCCAAGCGCCCGAACGAATTTCCTTTTCCAATGAATCCCAAAGAGCCTTTTTAGAAAGGTCAGACTTAGTTCCATCCCGACAAATGTCAAATCTCACGCAAATTCAAAGGGAAACCATGCACATCAGCCAAGCGACGCAATTGTGTTGCGAGGTCTCCGTCACGAGGCTTGCCAGCGAACAAGTACAGCACTGAAAGTCAGCTCTTCGCGCCAGCCCCATCTGTTGCCCGCGAAGCACCATGATGCTCCATCCAATGCTGCCAAGTGGGATGTGGCTTGCCGCAGCCGCGGACCTGACAGCAATGTACCATGCCACAGCTCCCGTCGCAGCCGGCCCCACTGTAAGCAAAACAGATGAGCCGATTGTCGGGCGTGCGAGTCACAAGATCACCACCCTTGCGGTCCTTGCCCTTCTTGCCCGACTTTGCCTCCTTGCCCTTCTTGCTACCCTTGAAGTCGCCCTTGCGATTTCCTTTCTGCCACTTGTCCCAGGATTTTCCCCAGGCTGCTTCCGATTCGCCACCGGGTTGCCAGGGACGTTTCCAAGCAGGCTCACTGCGACCCTGGAGCGCAATGGGGGACACGAAGAATTGCTCTTTCAACTGAGCATTTCCTTGAACCTCTGCCAATGTATCCACCAGTGCCCGCGACTCACGGAAGGCCTTCTTGACAGCTTCGCGACGCATCTCATACTCATATGTGAGCAGCACCTGCCACGGAGGACGAAGTGGTTGTTGATCACCCTTGCCCTTTCCCCCGGGAGTCGGGACTTGCATCAAGTAGACTTTGTCACCCAACAAGTAGTTGACATAGTCCAGCCACACTGCTGGAGTCATGCCACGGAACATGGCCTGGTTCCGATACTTGCTATGTTCGCCTCAACGCGTAGGACAGTACGGAGCTCCGTATGAGCGGGCAGATTTCCCTTGGCTTTCTGACGAACGATGCGAACATGTCCCGTCGTGTCCACACTGGTTTGAATGCCCTGCGTCTTGGCCCGCTTCTTTGAGATCACCTCCGAAAGCGGTGAAGCCGACACTTCACCAGATTCGACCTCCTCTATCTTGGCTGACAAGTACTCCTCCGAAGGCTCGTAGGTCTCTTCAATGGATCCATGAACAGCCTCGAAAGCTGCACGCATAGCCTGCTTCTCTGTCTGTGTCACCGGCCGCACCACACCTAAGACCCGCGCTTCTGCTTTGAGCGATGCCTCCTTGCCAGCATACTCTTTGGAAGCCTCCCAAGCAGCTACCACAGAGGCCACCACGGCCCGGGAAGCTTGATCCGTAGCATCCAGAGTGTGATCAGTCCGAAGAGCAGCCCGAACTTCAGCCCTTGAATCAGCATAACTCGCAAAGCGTCTCACAGTACGAAAGTTGATGCTCAAGCGGTATTGCAAAGGCAGAGGCACCCCGCACTCCTGGAAGATATGCCGCAGATCCGATGCCACCTCCACGTCCAGATGCCGCAAAGCCGCTGCCTCATCGATGCCATTGGGGTAATCGAGTGGACCAGCGCGCCTCCCGCCATGCCTGTGGTATCACTAACTGCAGTAAAACGCACAAACTCAAAGGAAACCTTCAACTACACCACCAGAGCTAGCAAAGAGCCCTGATTTACATCACATTCCAGCCATCCTGTGACTGCAGTGAGCTACATCTCAGTCCCTTGCTCTTGATCACATCGGCACATCTTTCATTCGTGCTCGCAACGAGCAACGTGCCACCAACATTCAACTCAATCATTCCACCCCTACGACTGCAAGCAAGTGCAACAGCCAACAACACTTTACGACTCAGCGCGCAAATCGCCTTCCGAAGCACTACACTAGCTTGAATCATCCAAGTCCGGAACTTCCGCCGATCCCGAAGGTTCCCCCTGCCCGTCATTCCCTGGAGCCAGCGAATCTTCCGATCCACTGCTGGAAGACTCCTGCGCCGCTGATATCTTAGGCTGGCAGAGTTTGCAGATCGCATCAGCAACGCCCTCCGAGATCTTTGACACTCCCACAGTCTCCATACAGCGCTCCTGTCGAACTGCACAGGCCTTGGAGAGATGCAAACGGCGGAACCCAGAGCGAGAAATTGTCACAAAGAACGGCATGTCCGGAAGCGAAGATTCTTCTTCCCCAGCATCCTTCTCTTCAGCAGGCAACTCAGCTTCCAGGCGTCCACGCGAAATCTCGTAGCGCTCAGGACCCACCGCCAGCAAGGGGTGAATGCCTCCGAGCTTCCATGTGTAATCGGTCCACTCGAGGACCTGATGCCACGTAATCACTTGAATGCCATCCTGCCCGGCTGCGTCTGCAAAAGACTGGATAGACTGAAAGAGCTCCTCCTCAATCAATCCACCCTCTGCAGTCCCTTCTACCAAGGATTTGCAAACGAAGTTCTGTAGTCCCTGCACGATCTGCCGAGCAGTTGTAAGATAATCCAAAGAGCCGCCTTGCGAGCATCTCCAACGTCCAAGGAAATCGCACTTTGATTTGTCAGCACCCAGCGAGAGTGCCCACGTTGGCAGAGTATGCCGCGCATAATGACCTGTCCAATACGCGGCCACCGACCCGGGCAACAGCTTCGTGGCACTTGTTCCCCAAGTGCCCTCGCGGCACAAGGGCACCCGAAGCTCCTTATGCAATCGACGCAGAAGTACAGCCAAATCCTGAGCCTCCACATATGAAAATCCAACATTCCAGGATTCATCCATCGCTGGACATAAATAATCCCGCGGCCAGTGCAGCTCAGACGTCTGAAGCAAACGGTACCCTTCCAAGAGCCAATCGAAACCACTCAAGCAAATCACTCTTGACACATATCCTTGCAGTTCGCCAGTACGCCGGCCCGGTCCGCTAGTCTTTGTCCGGCGCAGAATGAACTTCAAGCCGATCTGCGACAGAGTGACTGAAAATGGATCAATGTGTTGCACATCATCGCACCTCATAGTCGACCAAAGCATGAGCAGCTGCACAAACGCAAGAAAACGTAGCCCCGCAGGAAGAGTAACCCTGCAGACTGTCAGCTCACATGACAACACCATAGCCACAGTAAGCGCAGGCGCCTTCCTGACCGGCAACGCCACTGTTTCGAGCTCTTCAGTCCAGGACTGGATCGTGCTCATAAGCAGTTGATCCGTCGAAAACCTGCTGCTTGCTGGCACCTGCCCAACACTCTCAAGCACTGATAAAGCTGCCATACGTGAAGATGGTACAGTCTTTCCCATTGGCTGAATATCATGTCGTTCAGTGAGATACTTTACGAAGCGGTCAACTCCTCCCGGCCAGCTTTCGCCGAAGGTAATCTCAAGCCACGATGATGTCGTTGTAGTGTTGATGCCCTTGATGTTGCAGTCAACACGGAAAGGGAGCATCTCCTTAGATGCCCAAAACGGTAGGGCCACAAAGTGGACCTTAACTACTCAGCAGAGGGAAGTCCACATGGCGCTGCCAACTGAACGCCTCAGTGGCTGCAGAAAGAAATAGTGAAACAAAGGGAGCTGGCAGAAGGCAAGCCCTCAAGAGGGCTCCAACCTTCTCGGACCCTGCCAGTTCCAGCGTTCTTGCCAGATTGCTTCGACTCTAGCTGACATGTGTTTGAGGATTCGGGCGTTAAGCATTTTTGGACCTTTAAGAGGCCACCCAAATCTGAGCTGCAAGACGTTCCTTGGTTTTGGAGGGATACCAGGGGTATCCAGTCCACTCCTACACTCCCACATCAAATGCATGAAGGAGCCAACGTGTTGCCTACAAAGGCAGGTAATCTCAAGCCACGAATGAAACTTGCGCCATGCCAGAGCACGATTGCGGAGCGTCTTCCCACGCCGAGTGCCGAATAGCCGACACCAGGCTGCCCGAGGATTGGGCAGAGCAGCCACCCTAGCAGCGCAAGGCAGTCCAGCTTCCTCAATATACTGCGCAAGCACAAGAGCCCATTTCTCACGCAGCAGAGCCTCGCGATTCTCGCCCTGTGCTCCATGAATCAGCTTCCGTTGTCGGATCGACTTCTGCAGCACCAAAGCTAGCGCCGGACTACCAAGCACCAGGCCACTGAAAATCTCCTCTTTGCTTTGCTCCCGACGTGGGAACTTGACTGGCCTACGTGGGACCACATCTGCTACTTGCCTGGGAAGCGATACACGCCGTTCCACCGATGCACGCCAATCCAGCAGCCGCCGAACCAGCCGATTTAGCTCGTCAGCAGGACGAGTGCCACCGAAGAACTCCAGCAGCATCTGGCTGCATTCATCCTCATCATCCCAGGCAGCCACAAACTGAAATGGCCCAGAATAAAACCTGCCTACCTCACGAAAGAGATCGCCATCTAACGTTTCCAGCCCATACCAGTGCACGTCAGACATTCACCCAGTGAAGCATCAACCAGACAGAACTATAGTTGTCTCAGCGCCATGCCTAGCGCCGAAGGTCTATGCTCCCCACTCACATCAAAATTTCACGATCCGGTCTCGAGCAATGCAGAGCAAACAATGCCCAATCAATTGGAAAGAGGTCAAATCTGCAAGGGCTTCACCACACTCAAATTTGCCAAATACCGCATGCCAAATCAAATCACTTTCAAGCAGAGTTTTTCGGAAACACCCACAAAGCTCTTCCACAAGATGCCAAAGTCCAACATCCAACGTTCCAAGGAGCGCGCACCCACCCCCCCCGACTCAAGTAACGGAACAATCCCCCCGGGAGGACCCGGGTAGTAAGATGCGCTTGTCAACTCTGTCTTTGCAGCTGGAACTTGTGCGTTTCTCCCTTACACCAGCGGTCTTTGGCCTCGCTCTCAACGACGATGCCTCCTTTGTACCACTCACTGGCTTATGAGGACCCATGTCCCAATCTGTTGCCGCATCTCTCTGTTGACTTCTCTCAGGCGCAGAGCTGTTTTGGGCACACTGTGGCCTCATCGCATCATCATCCAGAGGTGGATTCTGCGTAGCAGCCCTTTGCTGTCCACAGCTCATCCTGAAAAACAATTCCCATGCACAACAGCATGTCATGATCAGCGTACCAACCAAGATGCCGTTGACAAAGCACCCGATAGTGATGACCCATACTGGGTCCCAAGTTGGACTGGTAAACAACTGTACAAGCTCGCCACCCATGAACGTGGTTCCCCAAGGCTCTACTGGCATCGCAGTCTCCACTCCAGAGGTCATCAAAGCAAGAATGGCCAATGAAATCGCCACTGTCATCAAGGGCTGTGCAACCATGAGGCGCAAAGGAAAAACTAGAAGACTTGTGTTACAAAGAATCACAAGTGCTGCGCAAACGCACCGTGCAAAATGCACTCCGACTATACTCCTCACGTGAGTTGATCATGCGCGGCGTAAGATGAAAATAAATCGGTTCCCCCTTTTAGTTTGTTGCCCTTAGGGCCTTGAGCAACCCGTCTGCCACTGCCAGCACCTTGTTGTGCTTTCCTGCTGCTGTGTAGTCGATGTCATGAAACGAAGCATGTGTCTGGCAACTACATACTCCAAACATGCTGAAAAGCTTCCTGGCGCACTCTGAATGCGAACACATGAACCTGAGACGCTTTGACACTGGAAGACCACTGCGACTCACCATGCCGGTGGTACATAGCCATACATCTATGGGATGCACAAGACCTGAGGCTCAAAGGACATTCTGCGTGCCCCATCACTTCCAAACCATGTTTTGCTTTGGCAATTCGAAATTCCGTCCATCTCCAAGCCTCAGATACTTCTCTGCATATCGCATCAACGTCTCCCACTCAAGATCACACTTTGTACATCTTTGCGCGAAGTTCCTCAGCATGGAACCTGAAGAGCAAGGTGTGGACACGTGTACAGTGTGTGTGGATCCAAAGCCTTCTGTTCTTCCAAGCAGTGATGACCTTCATGGTTTCTGTCAACACCCGAGGTTTCGGCATTGGCTGTGATCCCGCAACACGGAATCCCAAGTGATCCACACACCTGACACAACGCAGAGTCTTCACCGCAAAACACTTCCAACACTCCTACTTCAGCAGATTCCCTCATGCTTTCTGAAGAAACTCGCAGCTGAGATAACATGTACAACGCCTCCACGTGTCCATCTTGCGCAGTGAAGCCTAACCGCGCTCTGTGTTGTTGGAAGAGTCGTGTTCCTAGATTTTTCGTGTAGAGATCAGCAGCATTGTCCTTGCCTCTCAGCCATCGCAACTTGAGTCGACCTCTCAAAAGATGTTCTCTCATCCATGCCAATCTGATCTCCACATGTCTTGAACGCTTCGGCACATCTTCCGCGTGAATGACATCCAACGCTGCCTGACTGTCCGTCAACAGCTCAGTGTAGATGTTCTCACGCTGTCCATCACCATCTTCGTCCTCTGCATGAGCACTCATCTGCACATCAATTGCTCCCTGACGTTCACCGAAGGCATTCAGGACACGATCAAGCAAGTGTAGGAATGCTATTGTTTAGCGCATGAAGCTCAGCTTCACAAGACGAGAAGCACACCACTCCCTGCACCTTTGCGATCCCTCTCACAAGACCACCTCCAAAGCAGATGGCCCCTCCTGCGATGCCTCTTCTGCCAATGCCCCTGTATGGAGCGTGAGATGCGTCTGCAAAGACATGAACACCATTCCGCAGGACCTCTTTGTGGAACATCCCAAGAACTCATGCAACTCTGATGAAGGTAAGCGCAATGCAACGTGTCTGTCGGTGTAGAGACAACGCAGAAGTGCCCTCAACGCTGCCTCGGTGCTCTGTGTCGGCGCAGCCTGCTGCGTGCTGATCAATCCGACCATCAGCTTCAAGTCCTGCCTTGTTTGCAAGAACCCTGCGCAATCTATTGTAGGCTTCCGGCGTCAGAGCTGGAGCGCCCGTTTGCTCCAGCAGGCCTGCTAGGTCTGGGACGGCGTTTGTGCCCTTTTGGATCCCAAATGCATCGAAGCACGACTGTCTGCAAGTATTCAGACTTCACGCTGCCCAGGCCACCGACGAATGAACCGACGAATGAACCGACCAATGAACCGACCAATGATCAACCATGCCACCACCTTGGTTCGATGTTTTGAATCTCCCTGTCACCTTCACAGTGACTCGCTTCCCGATGGCGCTCAAGACCAAGTCTTCAGCCCACTGATCATCAGTGATGATTAGCAAATCATCCACGTGGCACACGATCATCACTCTGCTCGATCTGTCCTTGTGCCACACAACACCTGCAAAGAGACATGGCTCATGTGCATCACTCAAAAGACCGAGTGGACGGATCAACGAAGAAAGAAGCTTAAGCCATGCCAGCGAAGCATCCCGCAGCCCATTCAATGCGCAGTACAAGAAGAAGAAGAAGAAGAAGAAGAAGAAGAAGAAGAAGATAGCCTGGCCATCTTCCGAACTAATGCTCAGCGGCAGCTTCAACACAACGGGATTCGACTGGTGTCCAACAGGGAGTTCATGAAAGCATGCCCAATGTCTGCCGCACAACCTTGCATGTCACGCGTATAGTATCGTGGCTTGGGGTTGGTGAGCTGAACCCTTGTTTTTTTGCCGAGCCGTGCGCGATGTCCTTTGCCACAATGCGACACCTGACACGAGTGGGGTTCTTTCTGGCGCAAACCCATCGAGCGGGTATAAGCCTCAACGATGGATTCTTAGCCTTCATGCTCTTCACTTCATGCTCAAGTATTGCTCGGCCTGTTTGGCACCTCTCTAAGTTGGTGAGTTCCTCTTGCATCTCAGCGAACACAAGATTTCCAGGCAGCTTCTCAAGGGTACTATCGTCAACACCGCCATCAGGCTTCCAAATCAACACGCGACGTCCTCCCAACATGAAACTCTCACTCTTCGCGTCCTGGTTTCCATCTCGGAATCGAATGCTGTTGACCTCCACATCAAACATACCAGGACTTGTCACAACGTCGCTCAGCAGAACACTCTCGGACCAGCACAAGCCCTCGAGTCGTCTCGGTTCCTGTGGTCCTGAGGCTCGAATCTCGTCTTCAAGGTCAACAAGCTCAACATCAGGATGTCTTTTCACCCCCTTTTGCTCTGGTACCCTCGAGCCTGATCCCTGCTCGTTTGATGCTCATGGTCCGTTACGTTCACCCGATATTCATCCGAATATATGTTCGCTCCGAAAAAAAAACCGGAGAAGGAATATTCTCAAAAGTGAAGCCAAGTGCACCCAAAATACAGCGCTCTCCCTTTTTGTCTCCGTCCGAAGGAAATGGCGTGCAAAAACGCAGGGTATCCCGTGGCAACAAATCCCCCGAAGGTAAGAATCCGAGTAAGCGTACCCGGAAACTTAACCCCCGACACGTACAGAAAACTGTAACGGGAAAAAAGCCGGGAAATGCCCATGACGAGATAACCGCAGGCGTTGAAACGCCCCAAGGCAGGCGCAAGGGGAGGGGGTGGGAGAATGATGGCAGGTCCCGTGCCAACAAGTGCTGCAGGACGACGGAAAATTATCAAGAAAATCAAGCAGCACAAATGAAGCATGCGACAAGCAAGGAAAATTCAATCCCAAAAATACCTAGAGCGAAAACAGGTGCCTTCCGGGCCAACCGCCCCAAACAGCCGTGTTTCAAAAACACAAACCGTTTGATGCTCATGGTCCGTTACGTTCACCCGATATTCATCCGAATATATGTTCGCTCCGAAAAAAAAACCGGAGAAGGAATATTCTCAAAAGTGAAGCCAAGTGCACCCAAAATACAGCGCTCTCCCTTTTTGTCTCCGTCCGAAGGAAATGGCGTGCAAAAACGCAGGGTATCCCGTGGCAACAAATCCCCCGAAGGTAAGAATCCGAGTAAGCGTACCCGGAAACTTAATCCCCGACACGTACAGAAAACTGTAACGGGAAAAAAGTGGGGAAATGCCAAAAAACCCAAATCGTTTTCACGACCCGCAAAAATCGGGGAACAGCCAAAAATCCATCGGGAAACGCATAGGCATGCCATATGAATCGGAGACAGTTTCTCAGCGAAGCACTTGGCCAATCCGCAGGAGATGACTGGGCCATTTGGCCTCGGGAGGCGCAAGCTGAAGCCTATTGACTCCACCAGCAAGAAGGCGCCGCACAGGAGGCTGAAACCGAGAAGTCAAGGGCAGAGGCGGAGCGCCGCTCTGCCAGCGACTAAGTTCGTCAGCCAACTGGTTTTTGAAACCAGGCACGTGTGTCACCTCAGCCAGAACGCCGTGAGTTCTTTGAAACCCCAAGAAAGCTGTCAAGACCAGAGCAAGGGAACGGACGCCGGAGAGCCCTTTTGCCGTAGCAGCTTCCGCGCCCGCATTATCGCAGCGAAGACTGACAGCCACCAATGAGCGACAGCCGGGCACAAGAGTGTCCACAAGCCACAAAAGACAGAGTTGAGCCAAGAGCTCAAAGGCCGCT